TTGTGTAACTTAGTCAGGCAATGAATGAGTTGTAGGGTGACGACGGAGAGCGTAGAAGGTGTGGAAGCGAGCCTGCTTAGAGCCTCTGTCGGTGCAGATCTTGAGGGAAGTAGACAATGCTTTATTGAAAACCTAAAGGATGTAGAAGGGCTCCCTGCGTGAACAGAAGCTGTAAGTGGGTGAGTCGGCCCTTAGGGATTAGAGAAATGCATTTCGAAGTCGAGACCTTATTGATTTCTAATTTTAGCCTCGATGCCGAACGAAAGGGAATCGAGATAGGGGTTCCGAAACGGATATAGGGGTTCTGACCCCGAGTGTGGCAAGGCAAGCGAACTCGGAAGAGCCCGTGGAGGAACTGGGGAAGAGTCTTCCTAAAAGGTCGTCACTGAAAAAGAGTCATGTGTAAATAGAGATTTGTTAACGTAAGCACATCTCGTTTCTCCAGTGTGTCCCGAATCTTTCTGCAAACCTCTGCGAATCCAAGGGAGAGAATATGATTTTCGTGCTGGTCCGTACCCATATCCCCAGCAGGTATCCAAGGTGAATAGCCCCTATAGACAAACGTAGATAGGGGAAGTTAGCAAGTTCGTTCCGTAACTTCGGGATTAGGATTGGCAATGAGTATCGGGCTGCTGTGGGAAGCGTGGAGTTTCACTCGTGTGGATTGGGAGTTCCCTCCACACGTGAGGGATGCTGCGTAGAATACCTCAGCTAAGTGGAGAACTCGAATTGATCGCGCGGAACCATACCACTTCAGCGGGCACTAGATAACCGACTCTGAACTGGCACGTACTTGTGGAATCCGACAGTATAATTAAATCAAAGCACAGCAATTGGTATTAATTCAATGCGATTCCTGCCCAATGCTTTGAAGCGAAGAAATTCATCGAAGCTCGGCTACACAACGGGAAAAACTGCGACCCTCGTTTCTTTAAAAAAAAAAAATTTAATCCATTGTGTGTACTTTTTTGGGACTCTAGGTGCGACTCTTTTTGTTCTCTTTTTGGTGCTTTTAGAGGGTCTCAAGCCATCATAAAAGTTGGTGATTCTCGAGCTCGTGTGAAGGGTGAACTTTGAAAAAGTGCTCGAGTTTTTAAATGATTGGTTTGTATTCGATCCTTTTTGCGTTTGAAAAATTAGAATAAGTTTAAATGAGAAAAAAATGGGTATGATTAAATTAGTATTGAAATACCCTCTTCTGTCGTATTCTCCTTTGTAGGTAACAACAGAAGGGGGGGTATCTTTTAATTTAAGATTTTGTTATTATTTTCATTTTAATTTATTCGATGAAATAGAATACTTTTTTAACTAATTTTAAATGAATAAAAGACGAATTACATTTCGAATTGAAAATATAAATGGCCTTAAAAATAAATATAAAATAGATAATATACGAGGTAAAATAATATTAAATACAATAATCTCCACCGATATATCGGTATCAATGTCAATAGCTTCATCAATATTATGTTTTATTTGAAGAAAAAATTAATGTGTCTTTAATATATAATATGCCTGAATATATAAAAAAGATCATTAGATTATCTCTCAGCCATGATGACAGTAATTACCTAAAGAATACAAGCAATTGAAAGGAAACCTTATGAGGAAGAAAAGATCACTGGTGTACTTCACGGTTACAATTCTAGTACTTAAAGAAGATAAGCCCCTGAGAATTATGAACAATGGTAACGGGATCAATGGTTTATATTTTCAACGCAAGGTGTTTGTTTTGTTTACCTGCGGTTACATTTCCTTATAAAACAATTTTAACTATAGACGAGCGTGTTAGTAATTCCAACTTCTTTCCTTCTTTAGAAATCTTCAAAATATCTATATAATTTCACTTAGCTGTAGTAAAACTTCATTACTGCTATTTCTTTCCATATATATTTCATTACAAGATAAAACAAACTGTGAATTCAAATGTTAAATGATAGCTTTCCCTACGTAGCAATACCTCTCATATTTTCATTGTTTATTAATGTAGAAATCGGAAGCAACACTAATACCTCGTTCTCGTGAGCCTCTGTCAAGTAACCAGAAAAACACTTGAGCAGGCGTCACCCTCTATTAATCTTCCCACCCCATCAACCAAAGCATTTGGAGTCGCAAGAGAATTAATGTGCATCAGCTTTGCTACTCAACCGGTCTTCAGTGGTACCAGGGCTCGAACCCTTACTTAACGGAAGTATTTCCGACCGTGAATTCGTTAACATAAGCACGTGACTACAATATTCAAATTGAGCTTACAAGCAGCTGATAATGGGTATGAGGAAGGCAAAACTTGGTACTGAATGAGTTGAGTGGGAGATCTAATTATTTTATTGGCGCGAGAGTCAAATGTGGTTTTTTTTGCGCCCAACAAGGCAATGTTGTGATCTAGACATTTGAAAAAATTGGGAAAAAAAGTAAAAATTGGCTGACAAAAAGGAGAGGCAAAAATATATAAGAGTCGTTATGATATGTAGGGGGTGCGTCATCCGTTTTTACATCAGACAGTAAACAACATCCAAAAGAATAACATCACTTGGGTGTCTCGGAGTCATGATCCCCGTATCTACACAAACAAGGCCTGCATGTGAGGGCAACGCAATGCTTTCAATAATACAGTAGAAACAATTCCAAAGGGGTAGCTGCATAATTAATAATCAGAAGATTTAGAGGGACATTAACGAAAAATCTTTTGATAGATATTTATTTAAAACCATTACGATATAACAAGATATTGTTACAGGTTTTGAAATATGCGAGAGAAAAATAAAGTTGCATAAACTGCACAGTTTTATCAAAACTTTATTTCTGTGTCCGTCCGCTATTTGTATTGTCACTGCAAATTCTCGTGGATTAAATGTCCATTAACCTCGTATTTGGAAGCAACACAAGGGAGGCTCATAATTTTGATCTTCGATAAATGAATGATGGAAAGAAATTTAATTTAATAATTCTATGCAAAGATGAAACAAATAAAAAAAAAAGATTTAAAGAATATTTTTAGGTAACCTACTGCTGATGGACACTTTGTAAATTGTATTAGAACCTACTTCCACGTGTAAGAATGTTTCATCTTCATCCATGCCCTCGGAGTTCTTCTTGTCTATTCCGACTTGTGCGGATGATAGACCCCTGTTCTCAGGGCGCAGTTACCCCTAAATAAATATTTATGAAGGATATTTAATTAACAAATCAATGAATAATGGGATTATATAAGGAGATTTAAGTGTATTTTATATTTGATGAACACTGTAGTTTTAGAATAGATTCCTTTCCACACAAGTGCCCCATATTTTATTCGTCTCGCTATCTGTGATTCCTCTTCCACTCTATCCCGTTCTTATGACGGTTAATAGAATCTTTGATGCAGAGTCAGAATTTCTTTTCTGTTAAAAATACAGGGTGATCAATTTAAAACAGTACCCGTTTCTTTTTTGTATTATGCACTTCTATAATATATGTAGCAAGACTTTCAACATCATTACTTATTTAATATGTCTATATTTAATGCACTAGTATCACTTTTTTTTTCACTTTCTAAATACGAAAACTTGTTTTTTAAACGTAAATTCGTGGGAGCATCATTAATAATTTTTAATTAGTTTATGCACAAATGATTTAAGGCTCCCGTCTACCCGCCATTTTGATTTCGTGGACTCAATGTTAATCCTATAGAAATTCGACTTTAATTCTCACATCTTTATTATTTGAACTATTTGAATGCAATAAAGTGCATTTGAAAGAGCAAAAAATAATCAATGCTTCTGTGGAATTACTTTTTTCCTAATATTTTTAAAAATATTCTTATTCTTATTTTAATTATTCGTTTTTGAGTTTTCCGGTCTTTAAAGAATATTTTCAAATATTTTTAAAAATCGAAGAAAAAAAGTAATTCCACAGAAACATTCATTATTTTTTGCTCTTTCAGATGCACTTTATTGCATTCATATAGATCAAATAATGAAGATGGGAGAATTCAAGCCGAAATTCCATAGGATTAACATTAAGTGGATGAAATCAAAATGGCGGGTAGACGGTAGCCTTATCCTCCCCAGTCCCAGCTTCGTCTGTAGGAGACACTAAACAACACTTTCAAAAAATGTCACCAAGTTAAATAAAAGGCGTCATTGGTACCCAGAATTAGTTAATTTGCTTGTCAATAGATGGTAGTTCTAAAAAAATGATTTTTATGAGACATTTTTCATTCGTAGCTTATTTATGGTAAAATGAAAATGGTGTTTTCCGAGAGAAGGAAAATTATACGCTTGCGCATCTCTAAGTGTTCATATTTTTTATTATTTGTATAAAAAAAATTTACAAAATACACTGTTGAATTCTCTAAACTTGCTGTTTATAAGTAACAATATTAATTTCTCACTCAAATCTTCCCATTTCTGATGTAGAACGCTGTTATTTCAGTGTCGCTTGCAGGAGACATTGGGTCAATGGCTACCAAAATCAATCGATTTAAAACTATAATTATGGCATATATTTCTGCTCGGAATGAGATTCAGATGTACTGATGAGATGAGATTCAGAATTCGCTAAATATAGATGTTTAAGGGATATAGGAAATAATTTGGCTATCATAAAGCGAAGCAGCTCCTAATGATCACTGTAATTATGTCTAATTTAAATATCCCAGAACTCGAATGTATTGGGCAGAAAAAACTAGAACTCCCGTACTCTCAGACAACATTTTTTAGAAATCACGAGTTTTCAGTAAGAATCAACTTAAAATTGAGAAATTATTTAATTGTATAAGATAAAGTAATAGAGAAAAAATGAATGATAAATTTTGGAAATTAGAATTATGCTGCAAACAGTTCAGACAGGAATATTTTGCTATTCAAACTTTACATTATGTTCATTATGCTAATTATTATGAATTATTAAGTTAGAATTAAAGAAAGATCTTAAATTAACATGATGATGTCATTTTGTACCAAAGTCTCCTCCAGGAGACACTTAATATCTCAAAAACAAAAATTATAATAATTTTTTTAACATTTTTTTCAGTAATTGTTCATGTATTTAGAACCAATTGATACACACTATTCTAAGATTATGATTCAAAGTTGACCTTGGGTCTGAGGAGGTTAATTAAATCATCTGCTTCTTTTAACGTTTTTTTTTTTTATTTATTTTTGAAAGCTCATTTCATAAGATTATGAATGACAAAAATAAAAATCGTCTGCATGAATTACATTTAATTTTTCAAAGCTTTACTACGTCGTTTTTTTTAAATATAATTACATCGCATGTTTATGTTTTTTTTCTCTTATTTTTAAAAACAGAACAAAATATATTATTAATCTTCCTTCTTCTCTAATTGCAGCTTCTTCTCTAAAAGCACATCCTCTTAGCTTATAAGAGGATGTGCCTTTCCTCAATTATTCAAACGCCATCAGTTTTTATTTACGATACAGGCATATTTCACAATACTTTTAAGGTCATTTCTTTTCAAAAGAAAATAATTTCTTCTATTAAACCTTATACTCTACTTGATAGCAATTTTAATGATGTGAACCACTTTTTTTTATCTTCTGTATTCCTTTCATTTTAATCCCCACTTGTTTTGGGATTTCATTTTCATTAATTGAATTGGACCACAATCCTCATTTTCCCCTTTCCTAATTTAAGTATCAGTATTAATATAAGTATTTAAGAATAAGTAATAAGTATTTTAATGAATAACCTTGATTTTTATATTCAATCACATGCATTCAATATATTAAAATTAATAAATGTCCAAATTTATAGAAATGAATGATTAAATTTTATTGAGTTATTATAATATGTTGTTTGAAATATGTTTTGAAAATAGTGATACCTGTATCATATTCAGTAAATCTACTCCAAATCGAATAAAATTCGTTCAATTCGACCAGCGGAAATTTAACTATGTGTTAATGTAACTATTTATGTTTT